AAAGAATTTTGTGGAAGTTAAAATTATTTTAAAAATAGTTTCAATTATTTAAAAATTCTAGAAAATTATTTTAGTGTCCTAAAAATGGAATTTTAATCTCCAAACCAAAAATTCAAGTCTCGAAACAAAACCATAGCCTTCGAACTTATCCGAACTAGTTCCAAAACTGTTTGCAAGCCTCGAACCCTAACTGTAAACTTATTGTAGGGCACTTAGGACTCAATTAAGGTTGGATAATCACGTAACTCGATGCAGGGCTTTGCGATTTAGGTTTCATTCTCAATCTTGGGCTATGGGAAGATTTAATTAAGACACCCAACGAAAAATGAGTAATTTATTTTTTCGTTTTTGCACAGTACAATTAAATCAGTAACATATTTAAATATTGTAATTACTAATTAAAGTGATTCAAAAAGGCTAAAATATTACTTAATCGCATGTATTAAATTAAAGAAGTTGGCAAAAAACAAAAAGGTAAAGAAACTAATTATATATTTTTAAAATTCAAAAAAAGAAAAAAAAAAAATCTCTTGACGAAATGTCGTTGGCAAAGGTAACTTTCGTCAGGAGAAGTCTAATCCGACAAATATTTGCCGGCATAGAGTTGTGCCGACGCAACTTTGTCGAGAGGTGTGTTTTATTAGTTTTCTATTTATAGGGTACAGCCGGTCGGCTATACTTTAAAATATTCCCTTTTGGGGTATGGCCGTATGGCTATACTATTAAGATATTATATTTTTGGAGTATAGCCGTCGGGCTATACCGAAAAATAGTCTAAATATAATATTTTGGAGTATAGCCATGCCGCTTGTTTGCCCGTTCTTGGTTTACTCCTATGATGGAAGGGCAAAGTTCCCCACTGCCTTGAGAACCATAAACTGGTCAACAAGTCAGCTTTCTTTGGTGTGCGAGCGTGCCACTGCTAGCAAAATTTCTAGCAGACTTGGTTTGGAATGGATAACTTGCGTCCCAAGTTACTGATTTCTGCAAACAAACGATTGTGAATTTGGGTGAGGAATATCTCCCAAGTAAGTTCTTTTCCTGCCTCAGACTGGTGAGGACTTTAACAATTTATCTCAGTATAAAGAGGTTGCCTTGGCCAGAATGGTTGGATGGGATTTAAATTGTTCTTCAGGCGGAACTGCCTTTTACAAAAAGAGAAAAAAATATATATAACAGTGAATGCTTATACTAGA